AATCAGAGCTGGAGGGGGGGGGGGATCGGAGATAACTTTCTATCACATATACCCCCCCCCCCCCCTCACATATACCTTATATTTAGTATAGGGAACGAAATAGGGAACGCTATAGAGAATGAGCGGCTGATAAAGTCGAAATGAGAAGAATATTACTGTCCTATACTTATAAAAAGTAAAACTTTAGAATGTAAATCTCTGTTGCATCAAACTGCTGTACAAAAATGTTTAGTATATATATTGACGTTACTATTATACGTAGGACATCATACTTTAGCCAAAAAATATAAACAAAAAAAGAGACAAACTAAATAATAAATCTGAGCTTGTTGTATGGAGGGGGAGGGGGGTCGGTGATGAAAATATCAAAGTTGAATAGAACTTTTTTCACAGTCGCGCCATCTTGCTTTAGATTTATAATACTGCTTGTATTGTTGTTGACAATAGAGAGTTGACCTTTGGCTTTTCCTTTCAAGTGCAGTGAAGTGCATTGTTCCGCGCGTGCCGTTATATGCTTTGGTTATAAGCTTTAAATTGCGCTGCTCCCAATTGAAATACCAGCAGTATTAGTATTCTGTGCATGGAAGGTCTCAGCGAAAGTCAATATCTCTGGGACAGACATCGCGGAGCTGCATACGCTGCTGTACGAATTTCATGTGAGAGAAAACTTGACATGCTTATGAAAAAGTACAATTATAATGAATAATATTAAAGTAAACAAAACAGGAGTAATGGATAATGATAGCATATACTTTGGATAAACCCTCAAATACACTAGTTTAGTGAATTAATGGCAGGGAAAGGCAATTTTAGGCTTGTAAAGACGTCATTTACCTGCCTATTATGGGAACCTGGTATACCAGGTTCCCGTCTGTGAGTGGGCTCCACGGGAGCCTGGTATACCAGGTTCCCGGAAGGAACGGGTTAAGCAATCGTGCACAATTTATCAATGACGTCATTTTTCTATTTTAATTGGCACTTTTTAAAGCGGACTCACCCTAAGGAAAACCTCCACAAAAGGCCTTTTATTGACATGCTACAACTCAAGCTACTTTTGAATATTGCCGTATTTGTATAGGAAACAAAAAAACCTTTCATCTGCTAAAAAAATGTTATTGCATGTACCACGATTCTTTCCTCTCCTCGAGTAATGCATACCAGTAAATACGGCATACACAATGCATTTACCCATCTGCAAATACTGTTTTTTTAACTTTAGCAAAAAAAAAGAGCAGAAATCTTTGTTCTGATGATTCGTTGAAACAATAATATGTACTCGTATCCGACGAAACCTGAAGAGGAAAACATTCTTTATTATTTCCAATTCCTTGCTACCAATACATCTATGATTAACTGATCGATATATTTCACAAAAAACTATGTAACAGGTACTTAAAAAAAAAATGCGATTATGTCATCCCAATAGACAGAAATCAAATGGACTGAGGTTCATTTCAAATTGACAATGCATAACAGGAGTACCAAAAAAGCTTGCTTTTTTAACTTGGTATTATGAATATGCAATGTTTTTTAAACGAACTCTTTAATACATATATAACATTTTAAACATTATATCGGCTGTGTCAAAATTCCTGGTACAGCATATAACAACTTTCGCAAAGAATAATTCCCAATTGAGCATGCATATCATGAAATAGTAAAGATTTATCAAGATGCACCATCCAATCTGGAATTTTACGGAGTAATAATTCCGTGCGTCTCTTTTAAGACTACCCATATTAATATTGCCTACAATTATGTCGTTTAATCTTTAATATCGTCCGTCATGTTCATAACATTAAGCTAGAAGCGTGATAAACTTTTGCTTCCATTCATGTACTATCATATTCCTACGGGAATTACGTGTCTTCCGACAAAGCAGAACGGATTCCCACCGTGTTAGAAATGTTGAAGTGTCGTATATGCCACCTCCTGATTACGATTTGAATCCTGCTAACTGTCATTAAGTGTTCGGTCTTTCAGCTTGTCACGTTGCATGTAACCTTCATTTTATGGACGGCAATAATGATTCCTAGCCCTGCAATTTGTTATAATGTTTGATTTCAAATGCTAGTTCAGATTTGGAAACCGCGACATATTAAGATTTAAAAAAAGCCTCCGTTTTTGTAAATATGAAATAAATGGCAACTGCGCGCATCCAAGGACCTGCGCAGATTCACTGCGTGCTGTGTCATTACTTCCCCCTTTTCACACAGGGGTAACATTCTTTAAAACTGATTAGTTTAAATAGTTTTTTTTACTAATCAGCTTTAGATACAACATCACTCACACACAGAAAATTTCGGTGCGGTCGTTCGAGATTCACTGCTCTTTAAACGCTCAGTAGGGCCATTGCGCATTTACGAGCAGTGACTCACTCCTCGTAAATGCGCAATAGCCCTACTGAGTGTTTAAAGAGCAGAGTCCGGTCTAGTTAAGGACGTATATCCGTTCACACACAAAATGTCTTGCTCTCTAAATACGGGCTTCGTATCTGCAGCCTGCTTTGACCGGCGTATGAATCGCGACTTCGTATCTGTCCAAACATCGTTTAAACGACGTTCACAAAGGGAAAATTTTCTTTAAAGCTGTTTAATTAAACATCTTCAAACTAATCAGCTCTAGATACGATGAATTTTACCCCTGTGTGAAAAGGCTTTGCCACGTCAAATCTGAACGAGCTTTGAATGAATCCATTAGCCTCGGAATGCATGAAGCATACATTTAAAGTGTAATCAAACCTATTTCTATCGGGGAATACAAACTGAAGCACAACGTGTTTATGCAAGTCCTGATTGGTCAGTTGATTGGATTCAAGACCTTCCGGAACTTAATTAAAATGAATTTGACCTTAAACAAAATTCCCGAGTTGCATATTTTTCACCTTGAATTTCGATAAGTTTTGGCGTGTCATAATGTGAAAGTGTTAAGCATTAATAAGCTGAAATAAATGATGACGTTTCATTAAATACGACTGTACCATACTTGGAATATAAACCAATCAAACAAATATGGCTAGTTTATTTTCTAGTATACAACCAATCTATATTAAAAGAAATGGTTTGAAATCATTGGTGTACTCCAGGGGGGTGTTTCACAAAAATCTTAATTTGAACTTAACTCTAAGTTAGACTTAATCGTTATGGAGAGCCATTTGTAGCCCTAAAATAGAATATATTCAAAAGCAAATATTCGAGTATTTTAGACTTTTTATAAATTCCACGTCAAGAATATGAAATTTCCTTGATAATAGAAAACATGAATGATTTTAATCGACATTTTATGCTTTTTAAGATAACTTTTATACAATATTTTCAAAGATGCCAACGGCTTTCCATAATTGTAAAGTCCAAATTAGAGATAAGTTCTACTTAGGATCTTTGTGAAACACCCCCGTGGTAAGCTAATAATATCAATCTTCGTTCTAATTGTTATCGCTATAACAATGTCGATAATCAATTTAAGATATTTTAACAAAGTGTCTCTTATGTATCAACGTCGAGTTACCGGACGCTCTCTTTATATATATATATATATATATATATATATATATATATAAATAAAGTGTGCGTATGGAGGTGTGCGTTCACAGCTTCATTGGTCGATATGATAGCCACTTGTGCAGCTTCCCACACTCAACAGCAATTCCTTTTCTTGATTTCAAAGGCATAAACGGGAAATATTGTAATGCTAAGAAGACTAACAATGTGGTTGTCGTGGGATTTGCGACAACTTCTTTTAGGCTTCCCGGGCCGACGTTCAACGAGACCAACAGCCCTGAAGACCGACATTTCCCCATTTTTCCTGAATTATGTTTAAACTTTGTCGTTCTTTTGGGATGTTAGTCTAGTGGACTGTCGATCCATCGGCAATCGGTCATGTGGACCGAATGGAACTTGCTTCCTTTCTATATTTCTGTGTTTTGTCAAGTCTCAGGGGCTGTAGGACCTGTGAACCTTCTGTTAATACTATATCGTGGGCTGTCGGTGTATTGAGTGAAACCTCCAAATTGTCATAGTGTATTTACACCATACCTTAACACATTATAATGGTTTTTCTATTAATAAACTAAGGCTAGTTGAAGACAAATTCAAATCGGAGAACAACCACTGTGCCACAATCTAATCCTCTTTACCAGGTTTATTAAGTTTAATCAAATACAATAACAATTTAGCAGTCGACACAAAAATAAATATGTAGTGAGATCTAGACACACGTTGTATTTTGCTATCATATATAAAGATACATCAGCTCAAAATGAGAATGTCAATAACAACATTTTGTCCAAGACAAAGTTTACAGAGAAGGCCGTTATGGTGCACGCTGAACTTACGTACCTGTTTGACCAAAATAAACGTAAGGGTAAGAAAACAAAAGAAAATTCGTGATATAATCTATGTAAAACGTGATGAAATTTATATATCCTTGGTTCTTTTTCTTCTTCTTCTGTTTTTAATGTATAGTTTCTATCGCTATAAATATTTATCTAAGGGATATTTCACTAAAGAGTTAGAAATACAAATCGGAAGGTTTTTTTTAATCGTTTTATTCAATAATGATTTAATTATCATAATATTCCTATTGACAGTATAAAAATAATAACAACTCGATTTATATAAAATCTTTTCCTAAAGGATAGAAGTCGTTGTCTATTAGGCTAAGGACAAATTAAGAATTGTAGAAGGATTTTTAAAGAATTTTTTTAAGAAGCCAAATGAAGTACTTTTTTCCAGCAATATGACGAGTGACTCATATTTAATATCTAAAAATACATGGCACACGAAAAGGGAATAGATAAAAGAATAATTGGCAGCGTTTCCATTGCATTTATTATTTGTTAAAACCGACATTATTGCGATACGGAGGCCTAAATTTATTGGAAATTATTGGAAACCTTTTTTTTGACTAAATTATCTGTTTCTTCTAATGATCTTGACCTTGCCCGACCTATATTACTCCTTATTCGGTAATTCAAAATAAAGAACAATGAAATGAAAACGTTAGCCAGTAACAGATTGGACTAAATTTGCAGCGAAAGAGTCTCTGGCAAACATTCGAAATACAATCTTACGAAATGTAGAATTCATGAGGAGATAAATAAGTGCATTCCAGAAACTGTTGCTAATGACAAAGATGAGAAGGACGTTTCGAGCAATGCAGGGTATCTCTTTTCCTATGGCAGCACTTGTGAAATTCACCGACACCTGGGCTCCCCATGTTATGTAGAAGGCACCGGTGACCGCGAAAATAGTCCGCAGGTCCTTATTACCGCGAGGCTGATGCCCGACCGCGTCTGATTCGGCTGTTTTACCGCGTTCCGTATTGTTTGCTACTGCAGCTATGCGACGCCTATGCTTCCTTGCCAGCGTAATAAGAGTAACGTTACAGAACGTTGTTACGCCAGCTGATGCAAGAATGAGTGCGAAGTAAATAACAAGTATAGGATGTGTGGCGATGTCCACGGAGGCAAATTTTAAATCGCTGAATCCAGCAACGATTTTGTGAGTAAAGCTTGCGGATGAGTTCAGAGTACCGATGGCAACCCCTGAGAATATCAAAAGAATCATGCGTTGTTTTGTGACGATTGTGTGATAGCGCAATGGCCGCGTCACGGCGAGATACCTGTCAATGCTGACGCAGGCTAGGATCATGATGGACTGATTAAAGAGCGTCGAACACCCGATGACTCCGATGATGGAAAAGGTCCTTGTCTTTGAGATGGACAACCCAGAGAAGCGGAGAGAATGGAAAGTACAGCAGAATAGGCCGACGAAGAAGTCGACGATTGCTACCGCTTGGAAGCACAAGCGGGTGTTGTCGTTGAAGCACTGCTGGGCGTGATTAAGCGCAATGAGATTGATAACGTTTGAAAAGATGGTTATCATTCCACAGAGGACGAAGAGAACAGTGAAAGGAACGGATGGGGCACAGGAGTCAACGGTGCCATCTGTCAGTGTAGTCGCATCTGTAGAGGTATCAGTAACGCATCGGAAACAGGCAATTGTCGATAAGTCCATGCTGCCTCTGAAAACGGGCAGGTTTAATTATAAATGAATGAATGCAAAGACGAATTAAGTCAGCCTCTGCGGATATTTCTGATAAATAAAGTAGTAGTGGATAATTTCAGGCAACTAATCGTATCAGCGACGGTGTGAGGAACATCATTAGATGTCTGATTCAGAACCACTCCGAGGAGCAAGGGCACTCGTCGCATCTTTGTCCAGCGAAAGATCTAGAGGCATCGGGAACGTTGAGAAATGAATGAATGCAGAGATGGAATAAGTCAGCCTCGGTGGATATTTATGATAGTGAAAGTAATAGCGGGTGATTTCGGGTAACTGTTCGTATCCGCGACGGCATTAATGTACATCATTTGATGTCTGGTATAGAACCACTCCGATCAGGAAGGGCATGATTCCTCGCATATTTGTCCTGTTCTAGATCTAGAGGCGGACGGAACGTAGAGAGAGAGAGAGAGAGAGAGAGGGAGAGAGGAAGAGAGAGAGAGAGAGAGCGCGAGAGAAAGAGGGAGAGAGAAAACAAGGAAACAGCATCTTCGTTTTTTATTAAAATTGATCATTTTGATGTATTGGCATTGGCATGAAAAGAAAAAAAAAGAATAGAGAAATGAAAAACAAAACAACACAAATACCGACAATTTATTTATTTGTCAAATCTTTTCAAGATAACCATAAACAAAGTTTGAAACAAGCCATCGGGTCAACCAACAATATCGAACATGTACAATAAGGCGAACAAGATTCAACGCTCGTGTTTCTGTAATCTAATTAAATGATTCTATACACTCCAACCCAATTTCCTGAACGAAATGAATTGCAATTTTATCCCGACGAGGACAAAAATCTTTATCAATTTCTAGTGTTTGTTAGCAGAACGAAGAGTATTGCTTTTGGCTTTTCACAACTGACGTAAACGATCGCTTTGAAAATGAAGTTGTTTCTACATCTCTCAGTGACAAAATAGACCATCTCTTTCTGTTGAAGGCTTGAAGATTTTATAGAAAAGAGAACACCCACAAACTTTGATTTGAAAACATGATATACTTCACAATGTCATTGTGCTACTCAAGCTTTGAAAATAGGCCTACATGACAACATATTGATGATAGATAGACAAACCCTTATTGTGGTAAAAATGTTATGACATTTCTGACACATACTTCCTGGCTTTGATCGTACATCTGATTATTTTGTTTAGAGCATATCACATTTTTGATTTAGCACGAAATTGGATTTAATTTTCTAAAATATTCACGGATGTCTTACTGCATTAAAAGGACACGATTTCTAATAAATTAAAGAGCATTATCATCAAAAATATCAGAGCACCTTTTTAGGAAAACAGGTCGATGACATTTCCTCACAAGCTTGTTCTAGAGTGACATTTACAGTAAGAGACTCACTAACAGCCATTTACAGGATTGTAGTCGCAAAGAATATAGAACAAACATCCATTAACGATCTATAGTGTATTTGATGTATAATATATATATGAGATGTTAAAGTGTCGTCAAATAGCTCCACTTTAAATTAGAGCAAAAGGAGAAGGAAGATATACTTTTGTTTTTTTGCATATTGTATGAGAAAACCACTTAAAAACTGAACAAAGTTGGACTATGGTAATGGTGGCCAAGGTTAAAATATAATATACTTAAAGTAGAGCCGTCAGACTCAATAATAACTTACCGATTTGTACCCTTTCATTAAAGGAGACACAACGTTCAAACGTTTGGTCCCTCTTTATGTCAGCCAGCGTGTATCTATCTTTGAGCTTAGACAGGGCAGTCGTTTGACCCTTGGTTTAGTAGGAAGCAGCCAAATTATTTGTTACATCAACTGAATAGAAAACGAAATAAAACAAGAAAACGGAGAAAGTCATCATTTTTCCATGCGATCACTTGGTGAGAGAAGCTTCCCAGAAGCATTTGCGCAAAGGCTGATAATGTAGTACGTATTAACATAATTTCACTCTCAGGTTTTAGAAAGCTGTAAATGACATGCACTGTACACAACGTCTGGTATGTACACACACGTGGCATGAACGTTTGCTCCAAACATAGAAGCTTCGAGAGGGAATTTGAGAAGCACCTTTTTTTAAGGAGAGATTTCGACCATAATATTCCAGCAGACGGACTAATAAATAATGGAATAAGGCACAAATAATTTTTTCGTCTTTGGCATAAAGAAAGGTAAAGGTTCAGGGTAAAAATGTCAACGGTAACAATTTCAGAGGTTAGAATGTCAGATTTTTACACCTGGCATTTTAACCTCTGACATTTCTACCTTAAAAAAAAGAGAGCCAGGCTCTTTGTCCTTCCTTGAAACTTTCATTTTAATTACATAACTTCTAAATATACTCATTTTTTTTGTAGCAAGCGGAAAACAAATATTTAGCCAAAACTAGTTCTGAGTATATCAATTGTAGCAAAACGAAATGAGGCAAACACCCAAGAAGTTAATCTAGCCACAGAATGGTAAAAACAGGATGTGAACAACAAATTTATCACAACAAAACTTACACAATAAATTTCCTAGTAATATTGTTCGGTTACATACATTTTGATGACGTGGTTCCCAAAGCAACTAAATACTATCCTGCTGTTGTGCTTCAACGGAAAGATGTATTGACACTGAACAGATTGGGGGCAACACATCGGAGTTGACAATTTGTTCAATTTTTCGACTAAGCCTCTAGCAACGTATTACGTTTTTAGATATATGACGTTGTATCGTCGCAGCGAAAAAAAAAACATTGTTGCCTTTTTAAAGAACTCTTAAGCATACTAAAAATAAGATATTCAGATGTTTGATGGGCAAGAGCAAGTAGAAGTATACAAATTATACCGTCAACTGTCCTTGGCTGTGTTCGTTGGCAAGTGCGAACAACTTGTTGGACGACTAACGGATATAATACGTTTTGAGAAGGTCATCCATTGTTAAAATCTGGTCGTCGGTATGATTTTGAGTATCTTTCTTTTGGATTTTTGCTGCTGCCGTCACAAAAATTTAAGAAAATACATACTACATGTTCCGTGCGCGCCGCCGTACATCGGAAGTGTGCAAGTCCCGGAAGCACTGAACTCTACGCTTAAAGGGAAAGTTGAGTTCTGTTGCAGAGGGCGCTACACAAAATAATATTTTGTGAGATAATGAAAAAATGATTGTCAAATTTGAAAGAACATACAATTAAAATGACAAAATCATCTTTGTTTGATCAAAACGGTTCAGAGACGGCTGAATTATCCATAAATAAAACTATTTCCAATATATTGTGCACCACCACAAATATTCGATAATTTGAAAAAGCCGTAGAAAAAACGAAATAGCGCCTTTTACGTTGTATTTCAGCCAATGCCGATGTTTGCTTTTTTGCTGAATTGTTCGTGTTGGTTATATTACGTACAACCAGCCAGCCCATGTATTGTTATTATAAATTAATTAATTAATCAATGGTCACCGTATTTTTTGGAAAGTCGAGCTGTATTGGTGTGATCGTAATGGCTAAATTTCACACATTTGGGGGTTTAAAATTACCTTCATAGCAATTTAAGGTCCTAAAAGGTCACTAGAAATGTCACAAATAAGAATAAGAGCAATAACCATGCACTTTGAAGGCATTTGCGGCCTGAAAATAGAACTCAACTATCCATTTAAATGCCCGTCAGTGGCTCGAAGAGGCTACAGCCCGGCATTTTGCGCGTATTAGCAAAAGAGAGAATCACAACTCTCGAAGCAAGTCCTAGGAAGTTGAAAATCAAATCCATGTGATGGAATCTCTCGATGGCAAAGAAAAAGACACGAAATAAAAAGAAAGATAGAAAGAAAGAAGATAGGGAGAAAGAGAAAAAAACCGCGACGCTCTTATCTAGAATACTCACTAGATAAAGAATGTGCAGCTAGCAAAGTATTACATTATGAGCGTTTCAATATTCACCTTTTCACTTATTACTGTTCAATCCTGTATTGGTAGAAAGCAGGTTCTGGAGATAACATTGTACTGTGGAAGTGGTATGGCTGTCACACATTGAACGCTTTTGACTGGTGTGGTCACTTCCATGTGGCTGATGAAGTGACTGCGTTTGACAAGCCTCGTATTAATTTAAAGGCTCTCTGGGATTTTTTTTCTTCTCACCAGAACTCTCTGCTCTAACTGGCTAATAAGCAAAAAAAACCTCATTAGTAAAGGTCAAAACCTTTTACGAATCGTGACACACGGTATAAGAAGAAATACAACGTTAGCCTTGTTATCATCATTAGTCGCATAATACATCCCGCTCTGAAATTCGATAATTAGACATAATTCACTTTCAATGTTATTATAATGGAATCTGTGGTTGTAGAAAACACAATGTTATCTTTCATTTCTGTTTGCAAAGAGCATTATTATTAGATTGATTTATCATTGTTCTAAATGGATTTTTTTCCCCAAGGAAAAATGATTGACTGACCATGCTTTTAAAAGCAGTATTTCCGTTCATGAGTAGTGATCTATATACAATGTCAGCGTGAAACAGATGGATGTTTGTTCATGAATAATCACCACGCTTTTCGTTTTGTAACGTGGTGTAGACGGACTAAACAAATACTGAAAAGGCATTTTCTTCTATTGTCGGCGTGTTTTCTTCAAGATGAGGCGTTTTCGTGTTTGTATAAAAAATTAAAAACGAAGTCAATTATTAATTTGACAAGGCAGTCATTTCAAAAACATTTGTTATTGCTTTGTGATCTTAAGTGCTGCAATGGCACACATAATAATAGCAAACAAATTAAGAAAGAATATAAAAAAGAAGAAGTTTTACAGAAATATCACTAATTCTTGATAGATCGACGTATTTTGATTACATTTTAAAAAGTGCATTGTGTTATTTTAGTTCACAAAAGAAAATTTATGAATAGGAAAAAAAAAAGATATAAAAGAAAGAGTAAAATAAAAAAAATAAAGGAAGAAAAAAAAAAAAAGAAGGAGGAGAAGGAGGAGGGGGAAAGAAAGAAGAAGA